CTCTCTCTCTCTCTCTCTCTCTCTCTCTCTCTCTCTCTCTCTCTCTCTCTCTCTCTCTCTCTCTCTCTCTCTCCCCCTCCCTCTCTCTCTCCCCCTCCCTCTCTCTCTCTCTCTCTCTCCCCCTCCCTCCCTCTCTCTCTCTCTCTCTCCCCTCCCTCCCTCTCTCTCTCTCTCTCTCTCTCCCCCTCCCTCTCTCTCTCTCTCTCTCTCTCTCTCTCTCTCTCTCTCTCTCTCTCTCTCTCTCTCTCTCTCTCTCTCTCTCTCTCTCTCTCTCTCTCTCCCCCCTCCCTCTCTCTCTCTCTCTCTCCCCCTCCCTCTCTCTCTCTCTCTCTCCCCCTCCCTCTCTCTCTCTCTCTCTCCCCCTCCCCCTCCCTCTCTCTCTCTCCCCCTCCCTCTCTCTCTCTCTCTCTCTCTCCCCCTCCCTCTCTCTCTCTCTCTCTCTCTCCCCCTCCCTCTCTCTCTCTCTCTCTCTCTCCCCCTCCCTCTCTCTCTCTCTCTCTCTCTCTCCCCCTCCCTCTCTCTCTCTCTCTCTCCCCCTCCTCTCTCTCTCTCTCTCCCCCTCCCTCTCTCTCTCTCTCTCTCCCCCTCCCTCTCTCTCTCTCTCTCCCCCTCCCTCTCTCTCTCTCTCTCTCCCCCTCCCTCTCTCTCTCTCTCTCTCCCCCTCCCTCTCTCTCTCTCTCTCTCCCCCTCCCTCTCTCTCTCTCTCTCTCCCCCTCCCTCTCTCTCTCTCTCTCTCCCCCTCCCTCTCTCTCTCTCTCTCTCCCCCTCCCTCTCTCTCTCTCTCTCTCCCCCTCCCTCTCTCTCTCTCTCTCTCCCCCTCCCTCTCTCTCTCTCTCTCTCCCCCTCCCTCTCTCTCTCTCTCTCTCTCCCCCTCCCTCTCTCTCTCTCTCTCTCTCCCCTCCCTCTCTCTCTCTCTCTCTCTCCCCCTCCCTCTCTCTCTCTCTCTCTCTCCCCCTCCTCTCTCTCTCTCTCTCTCCCCTCCCTCTCTCTCTCTCTCTCTCCCCTCCTCTCTCTCTCTCTCTCTCTCCCCTCCCTCTCTCTCTCTCTCTCTCTCCCCCTCCCTCTCTCTCTCTCTCTCTCTCCCCCTCCCTCTCTCTCTCTCTCTCTCCCCCTCCCTCTCTCTCTCTCTCTCTCCCCCTCCCTCTCTCTCTCTCTCCCCTCCCTCTCTCTCCCCCTCCCCCTCCCTCTCTCTCCCCTCCCTCCCCCCTCCCCCTCCTCTCTCTCCCCCCCTCCCTCTCTCCCCCCTTCCTCTCTCTCTCCCCCCTCCCTTTATTATATCCTCATCACTCTCTCCTTCCCCACCTTCCTCTTTTCCCCATTCCTTTCCTCCTCCCCTCCTCCCCTCAATTCCCTCTACTTTACCCCTTCACTCTCTTTCCCGTCATCCTTTTCTTCCCTTTCCTCCCTCCTTTTCTTCCCTTCCCTCTCTCCTTGTCTTCCCTTCACTCCCTCCTTTTCCCTCTTCTTCTCCCTCCTTTTCACCCCTTTTCCTCCCTCCTTTTCCTCTCTCTCCTCCTCCTCCTCCTCCTCCTCCTCCTCCTCCTCCTCCTCCTCCTCCTCTTCCTCCTCTTCCTCCTCCTCCTCTTCTTCCTCCTCTTCCTCCTCTTCCTCCTCCTCCTCTTCCTCCTCCTCTTCCTCCTCTTCCTCCTCCTCCTCTTCCTCCTCCTCTTCCTCCCCCCCTCCTCTTCCTCCTCCTCCCCCCTTCCTCTTCCTCCCCCCTTCCTCCTCCTCCTCCCCCCCCCTCCTCTTCCTCCTCCTCCTCCCCCCTTCCTCCTCCTCCTCCTCCTCCCCCCTTCCTCCTCCTCCTTCTCCTCCCTTCCTCCTCCCCCTCTCCTCCTTCCTCCTCCCCCTCTCCTCCTCCCTCCCCCCTCCCACTTCCTCTCCCCTCCTTCCTCCCCCTCCCCCTTCATCTCCCTTCCTTCCTCCCCCCACCTCTCCCCTCCCCCTCCCCCTTCCCCCTTCCCCCTTCCTTCCCCTCCTCCCTCCCCCCTCCCACTTCCTCTCCCCTCCTTCCTCCCCCTCCTTCCTCCCCCTTCCTGCTTCCTCCCTTCACCTCCTCCCTCCCCCCTCCCACTTCCTCTCACCTCCTTCCTCCCCCTTCCTGCATCCTCTCCCCCCCCTCCCCCTTCCTCTTCCTCTCCCCCTCCCCCTCCCCCTCCCCCATTTTCTGTTGCAACCCCCTCCATCATCCTTCCTTTGTTTTGAACACAACTCTGATGCAACCAGACTGTTGTCACTACTGGATAATACCAGTCCAAATATCAGATTGCAATCATTACCTTTAGTATATAAGCTGTACCTAATTTCCATTACTTAGCTCTCCCCTCCCATCCCCTCTCCTCTCTCCCCTCCCATCCTCTCTCCTCTCTCCCCTCTCTCCCCTCCCATCCTCTCTCCTCTCTCCCCTCTCTCCCCTCCCATCCTCTCTCCCCTCCCATCCCCTCTCCTCTCTCCCCTCCCATCCCCTCTCCTCTCTCCCCTCCCATCCCCTCTCCTCTCTCCCCTCCCATCCCCTCTCCTCTCTCCCCTCCCATCCTCTCTCCTCTCTCCCCTCCCATCCCCTCTCCTCTCTCCCCTCCCATCCCCTCTCCTCTCTCCCCTCCCATCCCCTCTCCTCTCTCCCCTCCCATCCCCTCTCCTCTCTCCCCTCCCATCCCCTCTCCTCTCTCCCCTCCCATCCCCTCTCCTCTCTCCCCTCCCATCCCCTCTCCTCTCTCCCCTCCCATCCCCTCTCCTCTCTCCCCTCCCATCCTCTCTCCTCTCTCCCCTCCCATCCTCTCTCCTCTCTCCCCTCCCATCCCCTCTCCTCTCTCCCCTCCCATCCCCTCTCCTCTCTCCCCTCCCATCCCCTCTCCTCTCTCCCCTCCCATCCCCTCTCCTCTCTCCCCTCCCATCCCCTCTCCTCTCTCCCCTCCCATCCCCTCTCCTCTCTCCCCTCCCATCCCCTCTCCTCTCTCCCCTCCCATCCCCTCTCCTCTCTCCCCTCCCATCCTCTCTCCTCTCTCCCCTTCCATCCCCTCTCCTCTCTCCCCTTCCATCCCCTCTCCTCTCTCCCCTTCCATCCCCTCTCCTCTCTCCCCTCCCATCTCCTTTCCTCTCTCCCCTCCCATCCCCTCTCCTCTCTACCCTCCCATCCCCTCTCCTCTCTACCCTCCCATCCCCTCTCTTCTCTCCCCTCCCATCTCCTTTCCTCTCTCCCCTCCCATCTCCTTTCCTCTCTCCCCTCCCATCTCCTTTCCTCTCTCCCCTCCCATCTCCTTTCCTCTCCCCTTCCATGTAATTCATATTAATTTTTTGAAATACTGTATCCCCTGTGTCATTGTTATATATTTTCCTTTACAGTATATTTTAGAAGGGGTTGAAGTTTTCATTTTTCATTGTAGCTCTGTTGGTCATGCTTTTAGTGTTGTTATTGTTGGACACTTCTTGCCAAGAGTCGTGTCCAGACTTGTAATGCAAAGTCAGTGTGCGTGTGTGTGTGTGTGTGTGTGTGAGGTTGCTAAAGCTTGGCCAGATTAGGTTGTTGTTTTGGTGTCTTAAGTGTATTGTTTTTGTGAATTTTGTGTGTTTTGTTGCTGTTGTTTTGTTATGGTTTGGGATAGATTGTTCTGCATTTTTTTTTTCTTTATGGCTTGTGTAGTTTTTCAGGATTGTTTATCATTATGAGGAAGGAATGTGTGGGTAATGTTAGACTGTTGAATATGATTATGAAATACATCTGCATAGAAAGGAAAGTATGCATGTATGTTTGTTTGTTTTTTAATTATAGGACTGATAATCATACCTATGCTAATACATAATTTTATTCTGATCTTGATTATATTATTTAATGTACATATATATATATTTTTTTCTTCAGAACTACATTGCTAAAGCAATGAAACTCAAATGTTTATCTGAATGTATATTTAATGCTAAATATATTTTGCTTTAAATTTTTATTTTCTGATTACATTTTGCTCTGAAATTACATGTGTCCAGAATTATTAAACTTAAAAAAAAACTTGTTGAGTTTTGTAAAAAACTAGTTTTATCCAATACATTTCTTGCTTCTAACATTAACTATTAACTTTTTTTGTAATTGTTATTCCTGTCTAGTAAGAAATGTTTATATATATATATATTTTTTCTCTTCTATAATATTTCTATGAACTTGGTGTGAGGCTATTTCCGATAGATTCCATAACTTTTTTTTTTCTATAATATAAACAGAATCTGATTTCTGAACCCCGGTAACAAGCCCAACTTTACCATGTATTAACTAATAGCTTTTTTACAACTCTATAATTCATGTCATTGCGCAATTATCTTTTGTGTGGAAAAAAAAAAAATAGATCAATCTCTCACTTGCACTTGCACTCACCCTCACACACTCACCCTCACACACTCACCCTCACACACTCCCTCTCACACACTCACACATGCTCAATCACACACTCCCTCTCACTCTCACACTCACTCTCACACACTATGTGGCAATGAGAATAGCCACATAATTTATCTTGCTATATATATATATATATATATATATATATATATATATATATATATATATATATGCAAAGATATGCAAAGATATATGAAGTCTTTCATAATGTAACTTTCCCTGAACAGACTTCTGAATGTCAGTTGTTAGAAAAATGCTTGAGATTATATAATTTTTCAAAGCTGGATGAATGTTTTGATTACAAAATGGTTGGAAAGAAATTCTTACAGTGGTATCAGTTCTCATTCATATCTGCATTACTGCCTGCTTTTGAAGAACTTGATGGGAATGATGACATGTTGTTTAGCATTTACTTTGAGAATGGACATTTTCAGGATCATTTGATATAAAAGTATAACTGAAAATTAGCATTTATCAGTGAGTTATGGATGAGTATGGTATATATATAATGGATGAAAAAAATATTATCTCTAATACTTTTCTTTATGGGTGAATGTGATATATATATAATAAATGAAAAAATATTATCTCTAATACTTTTCTTGTCTTGCAGGAGGAAGGACCCCATGGAGGTGTGTGGCTCCAGGCACACCAATGCCACTCTGGAATTCCATGAGTGCCTGTGCAAGTTTGACTACAGGAACCTAAGGAAACGCCAACAGACGCTGAAGTTCAAGCACTGTTTGTTGGCAGATGAGATGCGACGAATAGACAATTTTGAACTGTATATAATTATTGCAGTGGTGATAGGTGTTGTGATTATATTTAGCATTGCTGCATTTTGTTCTTGTAAATGGTACCTCCAGACTAATGCCAATCCATGTGGGTGCTTGTCATGTTCTTGTTGCAAGAAAAAGAAGAAAAAGAAAGATGAAAATGAGGTTGTGGTGAGTTCGGCATCACATGATCTGGACTTGGGCAATGGTGGGCAGTCATGGACCCCAATACGTTTGGTGCCCAATAAAGACACAGTTGATGGGAGTCCAGACACCAATCGTATGAGTGTTGAACCTGGTGATGATGATCACAAAAGTTTCTGCATGAAGTTCTGTCTGAGTGACCCTGTACAAGACTGTTGTGAATTCTTTGACTGTGACATCATGTGGCGCAAAAAAAGCATTTATGCCATACCTATATTTGGCCGTCGTAAGCAGCCTCCTCTGCAACGAAGGCCAACACGGCCTGCTCCTCCACCTCCCAAAGCAGTGGTGGCTCCGGTAGTCAAACACCCTGAACCGATTCATATAGGCTATGATGACGACATAGAGTGTGAACCTGTCCCTGAAGCGCCACCTTCCCCTGAGCCTGTACGTGTGGACCAACCCAGAGCCATGTATGTGGATCCTTTGGCATTCTTGCAGAGACCCTTCTTGAAATCAACCAAAGAGAAGGCAGTTGAAGAGGAGCCACCAGAGGCCCTGTACAGCAAAATGAAGGACTTCATGTTTGGAAAATCAAAGAAGAGTGCAAGCATGGCATCCCTCAACAAGTTAGGTGTGAATACTAATCCAGATGCAGTCAGCACCACCTCAAGCAAGAAGAGCAAGTATAGTCGCACAGGCAGTCTAGCATCACTACATAACCTCAGTGATGAACAGTTAGACAAGAGCTACCAGAGCAAGAGGTCCATGAGCCTGGCTTCTCTACACATGGTTGAGGAAGAGTCCTCCAGTCGAATGACCCCGAGAGGAGGTGCCAGCAAGTTGAATGTGGCCCGAAGCAGAGGATCTCTTCACAACATCTGCGAGGATGATGACATTCCCCCCTCACAGAGGACTGATGAATACATCGACCTGGAGGAAATGTCCAAGAGGATTGAGGCAAAGATGTTGGCCAACCAGAATGGTGCTGAACAGGTTGGAGTAATTGGAGCTCCAAATGCACTGCCACAGGGCCCAGCTGCTAGTCCCCGACCACGCACAAGCCCAAGACCTCCAACTAGTCCTCGGCCCCCAACTAGTCCCCGACCCTCAGTGAGCCCTCCAGTCTCTCCCCCAGTTTCAAGTTCCTGGACACCAAATTTCGTTCCTGCATCAGCATACACTGCACCAAAGAGCAATGAAGCAGTTCCTCTCCAGCCTGGTAGTGCTACTTACTCACCATCCTTATACAGAGCACAGGGCCCACAGCACTACGCAATGAGTGGTTCACCAGTTCCACCACATGCAGGTTATTCACAAGCAGAATACCCGTATGGCCACTCTCCTGCAATGATGCTTGATGAGAATGGCCAGCCAAAATATTATCCTCCTGTGCCTGCTACACAAGACAGACCAGCAGTGCCTGCTAGACTGGCTGTTGGTACTCCAGTCAGTAACACTGGCACGTTGGGTCGTCCAAAGCCTGCTGTCCCTCCAAGGCCATCAAGTGGGTCAAATTCCCCAAAACCCAGAGGCAGTGGAGGCTCGCCCAAACCACGTGCTCCACAGCCACCCTCAACTTTGGGGAGACAGTCACATGTGGTTAAGCCAACGGCTCCCCCTCCCCCTCCACCTGTTACAACCCCCATTGAATCTTCACTCTGAGTGGATCCAAGTGAGGTGAATGTGAGATTGTATAGAAAATATTGTATATAATGTGTATTTGTAATGCCTTTTGACAGACTGCTCAAGGGATACTGTAGCCAAACTTGTAGTATTTTTCAGTTTTCATTTGGAAACAATAAAGGCTATCCTTTTATATCATTATTCCTTTATCACATTGCAGGGTATCTGTAAGGATAACATAATAATTTTATAGCAATGTATCAGAAATCCATACTAGACTGTCATGTATGATATATGAGAGGGTAGTTTCTTTTTGTTCTGTAGAAATTATCAAGACATATTGTCAGCAAAATAGTTTCATCCAGACCAAAGTTAGAATAGAAACAGTTAGTGTACAAGGTATCGTCAACATATCATTCTGAAGAGCAAGTTGACAGATGTGAGAATTACTTCTATCAACTAGCAAATGGGACAGTTCCATAGATTATTCATTATTCATTATTATAATTATTATTATATTTATAATTATTATTATAATTATAATTATTATTATAATTATAATTATTATTATTATCATCATCTTTATTATTATTATTGTTATCTTTATTATTATCATTATCATTATTATTATTATCTTTATTATTATTATTATCTTTATTATTATTATTATTAATATCATTATCTTTATTATTATTATTGTTATTATTATTATTATTGTCATTATTATTATTATTGTCTTTATTTTTACAATGCTTTTTTCCCTTTAGAAAATGCCCTTTGGGTTTCCCAGTGCTCAACTTCAATAATCTTACTTTGTGTAGTTTATCTGTGACAAGAATGTCTTTCATTGTGATCAGTGTCAAGTTATACATGGTAATGCAGTTGCATTTGCTAAGTATTCTTTGCAAATCATGTGAATTATATACATATATTTTAACATTTCAAATTTTTGCTTAGAATACGAGACTGTGCATTCACCATCCATGCAGTTATTTTGAATCATATTTAAAATCCTGTAAATAATGTACATATTCAGTGTAAAAATTTCATGTTAATTTTGGAAGGGCCAGTGCTAAGGTGTGAAGGGAAATGAATGAGATTTGAAGAAAGTTGAATAAATCTTTCTCTTTTTTTCTTTTTTTTTGTACTTTTTGTAGGACTAATACTTATATTTTAATATCTTTGAGGTATATGACTAGATATTTAGAGAAGGGAGTTTGGTGTACTGTGTATTGCCTCTCCCTAATGTATCGATACTACTTTGTCAGTGGACCAAGGTGCATCATTTTCACCTGGTAGATTTAAACAGGGACCATACGAGATGCTTTAGAAATGTCTTAGATGATTACTTAAATGTTTTTTTTTTTTCTTTATTTGTTTTTGTTCTTTTAGTTTTTCCCCTCTTCCATCTTTTCTGATCCCATCTTTCATCTCTTTGCTCTCTCTATTCTTTTTTTGTTATTCATCGTTTTCTATTTTTTTTTTTTACAAAATTCTCTTAGGGATGTCTGAAGAAGAAATATTGAACATGCATTTTTGGTAGTGGTTTGTTATTAATGGCATTTCAAAAAAGTGTCTAGTCTTTTTTGTGTAGACTATTGAGCTAAGAATGATGTAGGATTGTGTGGTAAAGTATTACTACACACTTCTCATATGTATACCATTATTCAGATCCATTACTTTGTGATTCTTGTATGGAGTAGGTAAGAAGTTATTATTATTTATTGTTATTGTTTTTTTTTCAAGAACTCGCTAGTAAGATTTTTTTATTGGTTCTGATGGCATTATTCAAAACTACCTTTTGTCTGAAAATGGTACAAATGTAAATGCACTAGGTGCATGTTTGTACACTTCAGTTTTTATCAAGTGCTGTGATGATCTGAGTTGCAAGTTCTAATTAATTGTGTAATGTGGGTTCAGCAGAGGGTATTTATGTCAATACTTACAACTTTGTATTTGAATATGTCTTTTATTTATCTAAAGCTGGGCAAAGTTCATGGAGAAGGGATAGTTCACAGTTTCTTTGATTTACTTCCTTTCTCTCAGCTGTAGTTGTTTTTTTCCTTTCTTAATTATTTGTCTACCTCTTCCTCTTATGGGTTTACTCATCCTCAACTGTCATCTATTTGTGCCCAGTTGATAATATACTAACTTTCTTTTCATAAGTTATGGTAAAAATGATTGTTCCAAATCACTTGTGTTGCCATCACTATTTTTATGTTATTTTATACTGAATTACAGTGATTGTAGATACTGCCAATATACAATAGGGATTTTACCCATACTAAACAATTGTGTTTTTGGTTATGTTCACAAGATGTCCTTTTTAAATGCAGGATGATACATTTTCCTTTGACAGGAGATTTGCCTGGTGTAATGTAAAGTGGAATTTTGAAGACCAAGAGGTGCACTTTGTTAGAGAAATTTATCTCTTACAGTTTTAAAGATATTTTATATTGTAAATATGTGCTATACTTTGTAAATTGAATTACAGCAAAGGGGACAGATGCTTACTATTTTTACAAGGTGTACTATTTCTTTATTCATGTAATTTAATGTATGCAAGTTAGTGTTGGGTGTTACAGTACATAGCTTTATGATGCAAGTTTATTATGAAAACTTATATTAAAGACTATATTTTGGCATATGGAAACTTGTTAAAAACCATGAAATACAATTTGTGAATGTAATTTTAGATATTGTGGTAGGTGCTAATAAACGATTTTGCATCGGAAAGTGAGTTACATGAATTAGAAAGTGGCCTTTATTCTTAATTCTATTCAGTATTACTTAGAAGAAGGTGGTTATGCCAATCACTGTTAAGGATGAAGAGACTGCTCATTGCTGCAATGTCACTGTGGAATAGTATTCAGCATTGAGCATTGTATTCAGTCAAGGAGTGTAGGATCAGACCTTGTATTGGATGTGCTATGTGCATGTATGTGGTTTAATGTTAATGTAACACTAATGTCCTTTTGTGTTATGATGAAAATACTCTTTATGGACTTATGAGAACTAGTTTTTTATCAAAGGGAAATTTTCTCTTTTTTTGTAAGTTCCAGTCAATTTTTAGTGAAGTATAGCAGCTTGCAGTGTTGTAGAAGGAAAATTAATCAATATTGTTATTGTGATGACTAGTATTGGTTAGATGAACATATCAAAGGCAGTTCATGTTGATATAGTTTTGAACAGAATTATCATCAAAGTTATTTTTTATTGGTAAAGTAACTGTGAAGTTGGTGGTAAGGGAAGATTGTTGATGTAGAAAATGTACCGTACTTTTTACTTTTTATGTAACTTAGATGAATTCTAATGGGTTTATTGCATAAAAGCACATTAATTTCTCCAGTTATTGTGTAATTTGCTCATAAATTGTCAGTACTTCATGTAGCTTTCACCAGTGATTGAGTCTGGAGCCTTGGAATCATTTTATTTTTATCATTATTATTACTTTTTATCTGACTGCTGTTAAGTTTGTTAAATGTGATACTGTATGCCATACTTACTATTTTTGTAGGCTGTCTCTAGGAATAAAATATCAAAGACAATGTAATTGAATTCTTATTTTGTACCATGAATCATACACATTTTAAATATTCAATAAGTTAATACAATAAATATATCCTATACATAAATATAACTTAATAAATATGATTTAATAAATATAGTGCTCATAAATATGCATTATGTCTTACATATTTTCAATCATATATCACATGAAATTAATAGTGCTGTAAAAAGGGTAATTCTATAATTTTTAAGTCTACAACTGTGCTAAAAAATCACCTTTTCTGCCTTCCATAGGGTTATTACTTGCAGACAAAGCCAAACACACATCTGTGCCATGAAATGCAGAATATTGACAGTTTTGCTAGATTAAATAAACATTCTTTTTTTACTGGTAGTGATTGGGGTTGGGGTTAGCAGGGTTAAAATTACAGCTTGACAGGATAATGGGAGAGGGAAGGGTAACTCGGCTTACATGAGGAGCAAATACCAAAATGATTTTGAGGTTCTGGAATGAAATGGCTGTGATACAGACGATAAAGATGTGCATGGAAATGGTTACAAAGTCTTTCCCGTGTGAACTAGACTTACGGGTTTAAATAAGACAATAAATGATGGGGAGGGGGGGAGGGGTGATGAGTGAACATGAGTAAAGGTGGTGAAGGAGTTTTAGTGGGGAATGACAGGCTACTGTCTTGACACGAGAGGACAAGGGCGCTCTGGGGTAGATAACTTCTTCATAACGTTACTATTGCGTTCCTATTATACCCCAACGCTCGTGCTGTTAGAGACCTGGAGCTTTTCGGAGACAGCCTTTGCCATGGCCTTGATTCCGTCGTAGGTTTCCCGAACTGTTGGCAGGATTTGTTCTCTTGGCAGGATGAAACCGTAGCGCCCTGAATGAATATATGTATGTAAGAATGGTATTTTGGAGTCAACATGAAAAGTTTGCAGTAACAAGTGAAAAAAAAACTTGTTTAATGGAAAATAATGACTTTACCTTTACTTTACTTTTTATTTTTATGTGCGATGATTGTCAGCGTATCAGAAGAGCTGACGAAAAGATTACGAAAGACCTTAACGAAAACGGAAAATTCTTACCACGCTTACCTTGCAAAGGAGACCAATACGAAGATAGTAAAAACCGGGATCGAGCTCTTTTACTGACGCTCGGAGAATAGCTTATTAGGAGGTACTGATGCCAGACCGTTTACTTACTGAATTTCCACACGAAGACTCCTCTTTGATGGTGCTCCAAGTTGGGAAGTTTTAGTAATTTGGAAGGAGTAGTTGTGAGTACGTAAGAACACAGCCTATGCAATGTGGTAACCTTGGCGGTTTCTGTCTGTATTAATTGTAGTTAAGTCTTAGATGTCTCAACAAAGGAAATAATGCAAGGGTTTTACAGTTTCGGAAGCTTGTCATATAGTGAAACTATTTATGAAGAAAGGAAATTTGTGGAAAAAGATAATGCTAACCAATGTTTACTTAGTTGTATAAACTAAAGAAGAGTAAGCTATAACAGATCAAATTCGAGTAAATCGTATTTCTCTAGGATGAGTCATTTTGCTAACATCACGAGAGAAAAAGAACGAAAAAAACAACAGAAATGAAAAAAGCAGAGACGAAAAACCTTTCTTACATATTTACTTTCCAGCATTGCCACGTAGGATATCCTTTTCTGCCCTCTCGACGAATGAAAAAAAAAAAATCACCTGTACCAGATCCATTCTACGACTACAAAAAGAGAGAGACAATATTCTCTCGCATTATTCTAACTCACCCAGATCGCGGAGTTCGAGAGAGTAGGAGTAAGGAATGCCAACAGATCCCAGGGCGTAGTCTCCGGAGCCTCCTGTCGCCACGTAGAGCAACTCGGGGATGCTTCCGATGCGGTATCTGAAGGAGAAATGGATGTCAAGAAAGGATGATAATGAAGAGAGAGGGGGAGAGAGAGAGAGAGAGAGGGAGAATAGAAAATAGAGGAGGAGAATAGGGAATAGAGAGGGAGGGAAGGAGAGAGGGAGAATAGGAGAGAGAGGGAGAATAGGAAAGAGAGAAGGAGAATAGGAAAGAGAGGCAGAATAGGAAAGAGAGAGGGAGAATAGGAAAGAGAGAGGGAGAATGGGAAAGAGAGAGGGAGAATGGGAAAGAGAGAGGGAGAATAGGAAAGAGAGAGGGAGAATAGGAAAGAGAGAGGGAGAATAGGAAAGAGAGAGGGAAAATAGGAAAGAGAGAGGGAGAGAATAGGAAAGAGAGAGAGAGAGAGAATAGGAAAGGGAGAGGGAGAGAGAATATGAAAAAGAGAGGGAGAAAGAATAGGAAAGAGAGAGGGAGAGAGAGAGGGAGAGGAGAGAGAGGGAGAGAGAGGGAGAGAGAGGGAGAGAGAGAGGGAGAGAGGGAGAGAGAGGGAGAGAGGGAGAGAGGGAGAGAGGAGAGAGGAGAGAGAGAGAGAGAGAGAGAGAGAGAGAGAGAGAGAGAGAGAGAGAGAGAGAGAGAGAGAGAGAGAGAGAGAGAGAGAGAGAGAGAGAGAGAGAGAGAGGGAGAGAGAGAGAGAGAGAGAGAGAGAGAGAGAGAGAGAGAGAGAGAGAGAGAGAGAGAGAGAGAGAGAGAGAGAGAGAGAGAGAGAGAGAGAGAGAGCAATGGCGTTGAATGAAAGTTCAAAGGTTCTGACTTATGAAAAAAAAAACTGTGAATTCTATATTCTACACCTCTTTACACCATCCAAAATCTTAAACAAGGTAAGCATAAACAATAGAAAAAATAATAAAAAACAGATAAATAAAAAAAGGTAACGAAATGATGCCACCAGACTCACTTAGTGCCATAAGATTCCTCCAGGGCGCTCGTAGCATTCAGTGCCACTTCATACATGTCCTTATAGTTCTCAGGCCTTTCCTGACTGAATCCCCAGGGAAGCATCCACATTTGGGAATAAGCGTGTATGGACAGGTACACCTTCAGCTGTTGGGGTAAAAGGGATAACATGAGTGGCAGAGGGAATGGGAGTGGGTGTGGGAGTGGGTGTGGGTGTGGGGGAGTGGGAGTGGGAGTGGGAGAGTGGGAGTGGGAGTGGGAGAGGGAGTGGGAATGGGAATGGGAATGGGAATAGGAGAAGGAGAGGGAGAGGGAGAGGGAGAGGTAGAGGGAGTGGGAATGGGAGAGGGAGAAGGGATGAGGGAGTAGGGAGGGTGTGAGTGTAAGAGTAGGTGTGGGAGTTGGAATGAGGGAGGGGATGGGGGAGTGAAAGTTGGAGTGGGTGTGGGAGTGAGTGTGGGCATTAGAATAGGTGTGGGAGTGGGATTGGAAATAAAAATGAGTTTGGGTTTGGGAGTTTGTGCGTGCGTGCGCGCAGATATGCATATTTTTTTTATGTATTAATATATGAATATTTAAGTTTCCGCATTATTAAACGGTCAAAGAAAACGAACAAAACTTATAATTACAAAAAACGGAAAGCTTATCCCAGTATAAGGGTAACTATACTAATATAAAAAGAGCATTTTTTTTTTTAAACACCAATCTAAACAAACGAATTTAACAAAGCACAATAACAACCTACACTCAGACAACCAATGCAAAAGATGAATAAGAACAACAAATATATATATATACACCCCCCCAGAAAAAAAGAAAAGGAAAGAAAAAAACGTACCTGATCCTTATTCTCGATCAAGAAGTCCCTAATAGCCCTCGTTTCGGGCTCGGAGAAGGCAGTCGGGCCGGCGTAGATGTCACTGCAAGGGTTACTCGAGGACCCGCCTTCCATCCAGCGATACCCGAAGTTGCGGTTGGCGTCTACCCCGACACACCCGGGCATTTCCGGGTTGATGGATCGAGTCTTCCTCCAAAGGCGGTCGTGGTGGCGGGTGTACTCGTAGCCTGTTGATTGTTATTATTAATATAATTGCTGTTGTTATTATTATCATTATTGCTGTTATTATTATCATTATTGCTGATATTATTATCATTATTGCTGATATTATTATCATTATTGCTGTTATTATTATCATTATTGCTGATATTATTATCATTATTGCTGTTATTATTATAATTATTGCTGATATTATTATCATTATTGCTGTTATTATTATCATTATTGCTGATATTATCATTATTGCTGTTATTATTATCATTATTGCTGTTATTATTATCATTATTGCTGTTATTATTATTATTGCTGATATTATTATCATTATTGCTGTTATTATTATCATTACTGCTGATATTATTATCATTCTTGCTGTTATTATTATCATTATTGCTGTTATTGTTATCATTATTGCTGTTATTATTATCATTATTGCTGTTGTTGTTGTTGTTGTTATTATTGCTATTATTATCATTATTAATATTATTATAATTATTGTTATTATTATTAGTAGTATTATCATTATTATTACTATAAGTATCATTATTGTTATTATCATTAGCATAATAATTATTATCATTATTTTTATTAACATTATTATTATTATCACCATCATTATTATTATCATCATCATTAGGCTCGAACTGTTAACCTTGTTGAATGACGTCAGGACAGACACATGTATCTTCGGTGCACGTACTCTGTGTGTATGCTTTCGGGGTGTTTGTGAGTGGGAGAATGCGTGCGTGCGTGTGTGTATGTGTGCGTGTGTGTGTGTGTGTGTGTGTGTGTGTGTGTGTGTGTGTGTGTGTGTGTGTGTGTGTGTGTGTGTGTGTGTGTGTGTGTGTGTGTGTGTGTGTGTTTGAGTGTGTTTGAGTGAGTGTGTGTGTGTGTGTGTGTGTGTGTGTGTGTGTGTGTGTGTGTGTGTGTGTGTGTGTGTGTGTGTGTGTGTGTGTGTGTTTGTGTGTGTGTGTGTGTGTATGTTTTAAGTATATATCTACCTATACCCAAAAACAACAACTAAAAAAAAAAACACCAACAAATCAAATAACTCATAAATCACCAATGAGAACACTACCACCACCAACCACAACGTCAAGAAACAACCTATCTCCCTAATCAGTTCACCCGCAGTGACTCATCTGCCATACGCACCGTCGGGGTTGGCCAAGGGAAGAATGTACCAATCGAACTCATTGATAATCTCATGGTCCTCCCAGTTGAACTCGACGAGGCGGTGCAGGATGAACATGGCTGTGGCCGGGGACACCCATTCCCTGGAGTGGATGCCTGGGGAATGAATGGAAAGGGGGCGGGTGAGACTGGATGGGCGTGGGAGGTAGAGCGGGGGAGTGAGAGGGAGCGATGGGGATATATGTATTTGTGCAAGTTATGTAAACAGACATTACGCATATGAACACACACACACATACACACACACACACATGTATATAAATGTATGAACATATATATATTATATATGTATATATGCATATATATGTATATATATATATGTATATATGTATATATATATATATATATATATATATATATATATATATATATATATATATATATATACATATATATGTATATATATGTATATATATGTATATATATGCACACACACACACACACACAATCACACGGATATATACATAATATCTATAAATGTATATATAAGTCCTCACCTCCATCGATCCAGATGGCGGGCTTGTTCTCCCCCCCCGTGGAAACCTTGGCGACGCGCAGGGTTCTGTTCTCGAAGCTCTGGCCGATCTCGATGAGGCTGACGAGGTGAGAGTAACGGCCTTCCAAGTAGTCGAGGAACTGGTCCATGTCTGAGGGGGAAATGAGGGGAAATAAGGGCCTGGGGGACATTTCTTTGTAGAGTGGGGAGCAAACAGAATGGCTTTATGATATGTAGGTAGTGCTGTTATTGCTAATAATATTAGTGGGGATTTGGACAGGTATGATGGTAATATAAGTATTGGTTGTAATAGTTGGACTGCTTATGATAATGAGAATTCTAATGATAATATGGTAATAATGATAATGATAATGATGATAATAATGATAAGATAATAATGGTAATAATAATAATAATGTTAACTGTTAATGCAATGATACTAATCACAATAATAAGTTAATAACGATAATAATAAAAATATCAATGATTACGATCACAACATTAATACTAAAAAAAACAACAGTATAAGTAAAACTCGAATTGTAGTCGTGACCCAATGACACCCGTGTATTATATGACGCGGAAACTCACACTTCCCTTGAACAATATTTAGACAATAAAGCGGAACTAAAGAGCGTTTTAATTTCCTTTTGTTATCCCGAGATAAAAATAAAGCGGGGAAGTGACCTACACGCTTGGAGGACAGGGCCGCCAGTGCTGCAGATGACTTTGAAATGTTTATGAAGTACAGATAACGGTTACGGCGAAGGTAGCCATGATTGACAACGGTTTGAGAGACCGGTGGGTGCTTTTTTTCGGTCTGTTTATTTTTTGTCGTTCGTTGTTAGTCGTTAATTTAAGATTTCTTTTTATTAACGGTCTGTGTATATAAAGTGTTTTGTGTTTTATTTCTTTATTTGCTCAATTCGAACTGGAAAATAACATTACAAATCACACTGATTGGCATAACTCCACCAGGGGTAACGGAAGTGACGATGATAATGATATATGAAACTACCTCGAAAACTATCATAAAAAGCGAAAAGAGTGAGAAAGATCGTATTTACCTTCGGTGGAGTGATATTTCTCCCACGTCATGGGATGGGCGGGTCGGTTCCACAAAAATACATCCTCTTCCAATTCCTCGTTAATGGCACTCTGGAGGTCCTCGATAACCTCCTGGTAATTCAGTTGGTAGTCGGAGAACACCTGTTTTACCTATCGAAAAGGTTGAGCATTTAAATTGTTGTAAATAATTTGTTTACATGGATTAAAAAAGAGTAATGGCGCTATTTTTGGGAAGCCATATATATTTAAAAATAAAGTTTTTGGATCTCCTTTTAGCTTGTAACTATAGTCAATAGATACATATATATAAGTATCAAGCTGCTACATATAACTCTATATATAACCAACTATAAACTAAACATGTTCATTTACTGAATAGATCATTTCTCCTCCTTTCCCCGCCTCAAACGACTCACCTGCTGTTCCGCATCCGGAGGTGTCAGCACATCCAACTCGTACTCCAGCCTCTGGTCGTTGTAGCGCCACGACCACACGTCCACGCCGTCAGAAGAATCCAAGGAGTCGACGACAGGCAACTGGGGCAGCGGGACGTCGGTGCGGAAGAGTTTATAGCCCGAATAAGATACGGTTCCCGCTTTGGATCTTGGTTTTCGATTCCCTTCGAGCGGGTGGGATCTGGAAGTCCCGATGACGAGTGCTAGAGCGAGCAACGCCGCACATACCGCGGTTACTCTCAT